GGTCAGCAAGCAACTTAAAGAAACATGAGATTATTGCTTTGCTGGTAGAAATGGATGCGACACCGGGAATGGAGAGAGCTAATGTGCCCAGCATTTTGGATTTAACCCCCGAGGAAATACAATTTAACCGGGCAGTGCAAATAAGGCTGGCACATTTTGGCCCCAACCCCTCAGCAGACATTGTGGAACGTGTGCAGGCAGCAGTGATGGCACACCAAGAGCTCCAGGAAAGAGGAGCTGCAGCAGTAGAGGTACCCAATAACAATTTTGGTAGAAAAAAGGTACCCTTTGCTGCGTTTAAAAACTTTATTGAAACAGAGGGCGAGATTGATGGGTTCCTGGCCGATTTTGAGAGGCAGTGTGCCCTACACCAGGTACCCGCAGATTAATGGGTCACCATACTCTCTGGGAAATTATCCGGCCGGGCTAGTGAAGCATTTCGGGCCATCCCAGAGGAGGAAATCACCAGCTACCGGGCTGTGAAGGATGTGCTCCTAGCCAGGTATGCAGTGACCCCAGAAGCGTACAGAAGGCGATTTAGGGAAACCAACAAGCAAGTTGGTGACTCTTATGTAGAATGGGCCTGCAGAGTTCATCGTACCGCAGCCCACTGGATGGCAGGATGCCAAGCGGTAACTGGGGAGGAGGTGCTGCAGGTGTTCTTGCTGGAACACTGCTTTGACCGTTTGCCTACCGGGGTCCGGGAGTGGGTCAGAGATAGAAAACCCTCTACCCTACCCGAGGCGGCCCGTCTGGCAGACGAATACACAGACGCTCGTAAGCTGGACAGTACAGTCACCAAGGTCCCTGCCAGAATGGAATACCGACCGTCAGCAACTCCAGCACCTACAGCCTACCAACCCCCAGTACACCGCACCCCGGCAGTACCACCGACGAACAATTATATACAGCCTTCCCGATTCAATGCCCGGGATTATTCCCAGCCCATCCGGTGCTTTGGGTGCAAACAGTTGGGGCACAAGCGTCCAGAGTGCCCACTGAACAGCGCCAACCAAGCTCAGTCCTGGAGGAGACCAGCCAACGGGAACCAGCGACCACCTCAGCCTGCTGCTTACTACATAGAACAGGAGGAGTTCTGGGGCATTCTGCACGAGGCTGACCCAGTGCAAGCAGCTCATCAGGATAACCGCCAGCAACATCGGCAGACGGTGAAACTGAATGGCAGGGTGGTGAATGGGCTGAGAGACACAGGAGCCACTATGACACTGCTCCAAAAGAACCTGGTCTCGGAGCACCAGCACACTGGGGACACTGTGGCGGTGAGGGTAGCAGGGGGTGCCATGTTTCGCTTACCTGTTGCCCGGGTTCATTTGGATTGGGGAGTGGGCGCTAGACACGTGGATGTGGGGGTTATGAAAGACTTGCCCGCTGATGTTCTTCTTCGGAATGATTTGGCCCCTTTGGTTTCAGCCTATGCCCCGATGGGCCCTGCGGAAGTTAACCCAATGACTACTCGTGTCCAGACCCGTGCTGCTGGAACCGGCCCACCTGCTGATGAGACCCAGGTAAGATCTCCTTCCCCGACTGGTACCTTAGATCAGGCCCCCTTAAGCTGGGATTCCCCAGAGGAGTTTGGGAGGGAAACCCGGGCAGATCCGACTCTCCAAAAGTATAGAGATAGGGCAGATGCTGGAGAGGAAGGAGGGAGCGGTATGAGTGGGTGGGGGACAGGTTATATAGGATCCCTTAGCCTTCCCAGAAGAGTGTTGCCCCTCCGCCGAATCGACAGTTAGTGGTACCTGCAAAGTACCGGCAGAAGATTCTGCGGATAGGGTATGATGTTCCGTTAACTGGACATCTAGGGTCCCGCCGCACAGCCTATAGGATCTCACAGAACTTCTTTTGGCCAAACTTTAACCAGGCTGTGCGGATGTATTGCAGTAAGTGTGACACATGTCAACGGGTAGGAAAGCTGGGGGGACCACCCTAAGGCTAGATTATTATCGATGCCTATTATAGGGGAGCCCTTTTCCCGCATAGCTGTTGACATTGTGGGTCCACTGACCAGGGCTAGTCCATCAGGTAAGAAATACGTTCTTACCGTGGTGGACTATGCCACTCGCTATCCAGAGGCAGTAGTGCTGTCTAATATAGAGGCAGAGACGGTTGCTGAAGCCCTGGTTAGAATTTTTGCTAGGGTCGGGTTCCCTAAGGAGATCCTCTCCGACCAGAGAACCCAATTCACCGCTGTGCTCACCCAGCAGCTGTGGAAAGTGTGTGGCATTAAACCGTTGCTTAGCTCACCTTACCACCCACAGACTAACGGTCTCTGCGAGCGCTTTAACGGTACCCTCAAACAGATGCTGAGGACCTTTACAGATACTTGCAGAGACTGGGAGAGGTTCCTGCCTCATCTGTTATTTTCTTACAGAGAGGTGCCCCAGGAATCTACTGGGTTCTCCCCCTTTGAGTTGCTGTATGGGAGAAGGGTCCGCGGACCCCTAGATCTCATCCGGGGCCACTGGGAGGGGGAGACGGAGCAGGAGGGGACCCCCATAGTGCCATATGTTCTGGAACTCCGGGACCGCATGGAGAAACTGTCCCTGATGGTAAGGGAGAATCTCCAGGCGGCCCAGGGGAGACAGAAGAGATGGTACGATCAGGGTGCCCGACAGCGGGTCTTCCAGGCTGGGCAAAAGGTATTGGTGCTCAAACCTGTGAAGGCCAACAAGATGCAAGCATCTTGGCAGGGCCCGTACCGAGTGGTAGCGCAGATCTGCGATACTACTTACTTGACAGCCAGCTGTACAGATGAAAGGGTTCAGAGATCGTTTCATGTGAACATGCTGAAAGAGTACCAGGAAAGACCTGAGAACATTGCAGCAGTATGTGCCCCAGCTGCAGATGATTCTGAGAATCTACCTCTTCCCGATTTGTTAGAAAGGGATTCCCAGACTGACCTCACTACCCTTGTACAGGTAGGGGACAGGTTGAACCCCACAGAAAGGGTACAGGCACAGCAGTTGTTATGGGAGAAGCAGGCGACGTTCTCCCAGGAGCCAGGTTATACCAACCTAGCTGTACATAAGGTAGAGACCCCTGGACAGACCCCCTTACGACAGCCCCCCTATCGTATCCCTGAAGCAGTCCGTGAAGGAATGCGGAAGGAGATACAGGAGATGACCCAACTTGGGGTCATCGAGCACTCCGACAGCCCTTGGGCCTCGCCTGTAGAGTGGACCACCACTGACGCCTACCCAATGCCCCGGGTAGACGAATTGCTAGATCGTATTGCCAGGGGGCGCTATCTGACCACCACATACCTCCCCAGCGGCAGTGTGATGTGCCGGGAATTGGGAGCCCAGTCTCCATTCCCCAGCGGCAGTGTGATGTGCCGGGAATTGGGAGCCCAGTCTCCAATCCCCAGCGGCAGTGTTATTTGTTGGGAATTGGGAGCCCAGTCTCCAGTCTCCATTCCCCAGCGGCAGGCTGAGTTACAGGGGGCAGAGACAGGTGGTCCTGTCCCCCAGCGGCAGAGTATCCAGCAGGGAATAGAGAGCCCAGTCTCCCTTTCCCAGCAGCAGGACACTGTATTGGGAGCGGAGACAGTCGGTGTCCCTCCACAGAGGATGAAAGTATGTATGGGAGAGGAGCTTGCTACCACCTCTCCCCAGCGGCGGATCATTAATGGGCAGAGAATAGAGAGCTTAGTCTCCTTTCCCCAGCGGCAGAGTGTTCTATCGGGAGAGGAGCCTGTTACCCCCTCTCCCCAGCGACAGCTTAGAGTATCCAAAGGGGAGACAGTCGGTCTCCCCCTCCAGCAGCAGAGCTGTGTAACCAAAGGGGAGACAGTCGGTCTCTAGCAGCAGAGCTGTGTAACCAAAGGGGAGACAGTCGGTCTCCAGCAGCAGGACTGTGTATCTAAAGGGGAGACAGTCGGTCTCCCCCTCCAACAACCAGGCTTCAACCAGGCTACCCTCCCAGTAGCGCTGGCAACAGGGCAGAGTACCGCTGGTCTCTGCCCACGCAGCACCCCACCAAGTCAGCGTACCCGTACCCAGCACAGCCGTGGTGAGGCACCTGGACATGGACAAGCTTCTCCTCTACTCAGGTGCAGTAACTATTTATTGTGGGTGGGCTGTGCTGTTGATTGTGTTTTGTGGGTGGGCTGCTGGACTAACAAGGGCACTGACCGGCAGGAGGTCAGATACCCTCTTAGTCTGTTTGGAAAAGGGGAGAGATGTGACCAGATCAATCTCGCCACATTGCATTGGAGAAGCCTGGTTGCTCGCCTGCTGCCTCTGGACTATGGCCCCCTTTTAAAAGACTTTATTTCGCCTGCAGAAAAGCTGTATTCGTGCTTTTCTGCCGGTTGTTCGGTGGATTCAATCTACCGAACAACCGCCCGAATGAATAGACCACCTGGGAGCTGGAGTGTGCCGGCAATTAACCTCCCTGAAGCTGCGGTTAACCGCAGCTTAATTGACGAATGCTGGGTGGCCGCCATTCGTATCCCGAGCACGAGGTCGCGGCCATTTTAAACATACGAATGCACAGCGGTGTTCGCCCCTATTTTCATGGAACTAAAATCGGACACAGTTTTGCGCGAACACCGCTGAAACCGCCGACCTCCCTTCTTGTTCGGTGGAAGTGCACGAACGGCCCAGTGTTCGTAGTTTTGTTCGAATGTGTTATACCCCAGATAGGAATCCCTTGGAGCCCATTCGTATGAAACTGACTGTAAAGACTTTGGCTCCATGGCGATTAAACTGTATTCGTGTGGTCTGAGTGCCATTCGCTTAATAATGTGCGCTCAGACCTGAGCTATCTGGGGATATGTTACATGTCTGTGTTTTATGTAATAAATGCTACTTTATGTATTTTAAAGTATAATACTGGTTTTGTGTCCCCACGTGTGTAATGGAGTTTTGCCTTTGTCCTGGGAGATAATTGAATTACTTCTCCAGTGCAGAGGGGAGGAAGCCAGGATGCATTGTGGGGATGTTTTACTTCTGTATGTCTGTAATTGGTACATGTCTGTCTTTTGTTACAGTCTTCCATCTGGTCCCCTAGGGGAGTGTCCACCATGTGGGAGACCTGCATAAATATGGGCAGGTAGCCCTCATTAAACAGACCACTGCTTGACCCTCAACACGGAGCTCTGTCTCGTCTTTGGGGGGAGTTACTGTATGCTGCTAAGGACTGATTGCCAGGAGTGTAAGCCGATTGGGAGCTTTTCCTGTTCGTCTGTTAGCAGCCATTCGTGAGGTTCCAGTTCGGGAGTTTGGAGTGCTACCTTATTCCCTTGTATGCAGTTCGGGAGTTTGGTGCATTCACTTGTATTCAATTCGTGAGTTTTGGTGATTCTACAGTAGCTGTGCCTGTCTCTGAAAGGGGATTATCGTCTAAGCGGTTTTTACCCCTTTTGTGCAAAACGGTCCGTTACAACCTGGTACAAGTAGCCTGACATTGAAACCAGAGAAGTGCCATCTAGGTATGGCTGAAGTACAGTACCTGGGTCAGAGACCAGAGCCGGCCAAGGTAGAGGCAGCAGCTAACTGGCCCACACCTACCACTTAGAACCTTCTTGGGGACGCCAGGGTACTACCGACGTTTTGTCCCTGACTACAGCACTATTGCTAAACCCCTGACAGACCTGACAAAGAAGAACTTGCCTAAGCAGGTCCTGTGGTCTCCAGCTTATGAAGCTGCCTTCCAGGCACTGAAACAGGCTCTTGTGAATGCCCCTGTCTTGGCTGCCCCAGTCCCTAACAAACGCTTTCTCGTCCACACAGATGCTTCCATGTATGGACTGGGGGCTGTGCTGAGCCAAGTCGGGGAAGATGGAGGAGAGCACCCTGTCGCATATCTCAGCAGAAAGTTGTTATGCGGCAGTGGAAATGGAGTGTTTGACCTTGGTCTGGGCATTGAAAAAGTTAAGTCCCTGCTTGTATGGGCAAGAGTTTTCCCTGGTGACTGATCATAACCCACTCGTTTGGCTTAACCGGGTCTCAGGAGACAATGGGAGACTACTGAGATTGAGTCTGGCATTACAGCCTTATAATTTTACTATTAGCTACAGACCCGGTAAGCTGAACGGAAATGCAGATGGGTTATCACGGCAAACTGACGTCTCCACCACCTCCTAGTCCGGTCATCCCCAAGATGACCCGCCAAAGGGTCAAGCCGGGTCTGCCGGAGTGTCCCACAAGGAGGGAGCCGTGTGACAGAACCATCTGTCTGTTTATTGCGGTGGATTCGTCTGTTTCTGCCCCGTTCGTGTAAATGGCTGTTTCCTATAGCCCAGCCATACCAATGACTGTTTTTCCCGAACAAAACTACCGAACGGATGGCCACCCAGGAGAGAAGTGTGCTGCTGGTTAACCTATTGATCCCAATTAAACCGAATTCAGGGTGGTCGTCGTTCGTATGTCGACCACGAGGCAGCGGCCATTTTAAAACACGCGAAAGCCCAGCGGTGTTCGGCTCTATTTTCATGGAACTAAAAACGGACACTTTTTCTGCCGAACACCGCTGAAACAACTGAATGCCTGCCTGCCTCCACGAAAGCATACGAACACCGGCCGTTCGGGAGTTTTGAAACACACGAAAGGACTTAACCCAGATAGCCTACCCATGTAGTCAATCGCATACTGAAAGACTGTAAGAACTTTGACTCTATGGCGATTGAACTATGTGTGTGGGATCTGAGCGCTATTCGCTAATAATATGCACTCAGATCCAGGCTATCTGGGGATATGTGATGCGAATGGGAAATGTTCGGTTATTGTAAAGTTATATATTTTTATGTATTTTCTAATATTATATTTAAGATGGCGATTTGTCTTTGTCCTGGAGATAATTTAATTACTTCTCAATTATCTCCAGGGCCGAGGGGAGGAAACCATAGTGCATTGTGGGTAAAAGCTGTGACTGTATGTCTGGAATGTCTTTATGTCCATCTGTAATCCAGTCTCCCATTTGGTCCCCTAGGGGAGTGTCCACCAGGTGGGAGACCTGCATAAATACGGGCAGGTAGCCCACAGTAAAGCCAGATCCTGTTTGACCCTCAATGCGGAGCTTCTGTCTCGTTATTGGGGGGATTTCTTCTTTGCGTTTAGAGACTGCTGGATGGAACCGAAAGCCGCTTGGTGGATATCGTTGTTCGGCGGCTAGCAGCAGTTTGTGGATTTCCGTTCAGGAGTTTGGAGCCTTCCCCTGGTTATGGTTTGTGGATTATAATTAATGCGAACGGTTTACGGAATTGCGAAAGGGGAAGGTGAACTAAACGGCGGTTTCCCTTAAAGACACCAGGGGTGTCTTAACACAGATATTAAAAATAAATACAGGAACTAAATGGAGATGCAGTAACAGTTTCACATATTAAATCAGCCAAATATATCCTATATCCCATGATGTAAATAGTACACAATGAACAGTAACCCACCTCTCCCTCTGACTTCACCCCAACCACTTTCCCTTTCTCCATCACAATCTCATCCACAGACTTGTTCAACATGTAGGTGCCACCGTATATGGCACTGAGTCTAAACAGAAAAAAAAGTAGAGATTTACACATAGCGATGAGCGGAGATGAAGTAGAGATTTACCTTCAGCCCCAAGTGTAGAGGAAACAGAGATTTACATACAGCCCCATTTGAAAAAGAAACAGAGATTTACATACAGCCCCAATTAGAGAGGAAAATTAGATTTACATACAGCGCTGAGCGGAGAGGAAGTAGAGATTTACATACAGCGCTGAGCAGAGAGGAAGTAGAGATTTACCTACAGCCCCAATTGGAGAGGAAATGAGATTTACATACAGCCCTGAGGGGAGAGGAAGCAGATATTTACACATAGCACTGAGCGGAGAGGAAGTAGAGATTTACATAGAGCACTGAGCTGAGAGGAAGCACATATTTACATAAAGCCCCAATTGGAGAGGAAGTAGAGATTTACAGAGAGCAATAAGCTGAGAGGACGCAGAGATTTACATACAGCCCCAATTGGAGAGGAAGTAGAGATTTACAAATAGCACTGAGCAGAGAGGAAGCAGAGATTTACATACAGCTCCAACTGGAGAGAAAGAGATTTACATAGAGCACTGATCAGAGAGGAATTAGAGATTTACATACAGCACTGAGCAGAGAGGAAACAGAGATTTACACACAGCGCTGAGCAGAGAGGAAGTAGAGATTTACATACAGCCCCTATTGGAGAGGAAGCAGAGATTTACACAGAAAGTAGAGATATAAATACAGAGCTGAAGAGAGGAAACAGCTTTACACACAGAGTGGAGAGGAAGTAGAGATTTATAAACAGTGCTGAGCGCAGGGGAAGTAGAGATTTACAAACAGTGCTGAGCCAGAGAGGAAGTAGAGATTTACATACAGTTCTGAGCAGAGAGGAAGTAGAGATTTACAAGCAGCGCTGAGCGGAGAGGAAGCAGAGATTTACATACAGCCCCAATTGGAGAGGAAGTAAAGATTTACATACAGTGCTGAGAGGAGAGGAAGTAGAGATTTACATAAAAAGCTGAGCAGAGAGGAAACAGAGATTTACATACAGCACTGAGTAGAGAGAATGTAGAGATTTACAGACAGCTCTGAGCGGAGAGGAAGCAGAGATTTACACACAGCCCCGATCAGAGAGGAAGCAGAGATTTACATACAGCACTGAGTGGAGAGGAAACAGAGATTTACATACAGCACTGAGTAGAGAGGAAGTAGAGATTTAGATTGAGCGGAGAGAGAGGAAGCAGAGATTTACATACAGCGCTGAGCGGATTTAGAGGAAGCAGAGGTTTACATACAGCGCTGAGCGGAGATAGAGGAAGCACAGATTTACATACAGCGCTGAGCGGAGAGAGAGGAAGCAGAGATTTACATACAGTGATGAGTAGAGACTAAGTAGAGATTTACATACTGCGCTGAGCGGAGATAGAGGAAGCACAGATTTACATACAGCACTGAGCGGAGATAGAGCAAGCAGAGATTTACATACAGCGCTGAGTGGAGAGAAAGGAAGCAGAGATTTACATACGCGCTGAGCGGAGAGAGAGGAAGCAGAGATTTACATACAGCGCTGAGCGGATATAGAGGAAGCAGAGATTTACATAAAGCGCTGAGCGGATATAGAGGAAGCAGAGGTTTATATACAGCGCTGAGCGGAGATAGACGAAGCAGAAATGTACATACAGCGCTGAGCGGATATAGAGGAAGCAGAGGTTTACTTACAGCGCCGAGCGGAGAGAGAAGAAGCAGAGATTTACATACAGCACTGAGTGGAGAGGAAGTAAAGATTTACATACAGCGCTAAGGAAGAGGAAGCAGAGATTTACATACAGCGCTGAGCGGATATAGAGGAAGCAGAGGTTTACATACAGCGCTGAGCGGAAATAGAGGAAGCAGAGGTTTACATACAGTGCTGAGCGGAGATAGAGGAAGCAGAGATTTACATATAGCGCTGAGCAGATATAGAGGAAGCAGAGATTTACATACAGACATACAGCACTGAGCGGAGAGAGAGGAAGCAGAGGTTTACATACAGCGCTGAGCGGAGATAGAGGAAGCAGAGGTTTACATACAGCGCTGAGCAGATATAGAGGAAGCAGAGATTTACATATAGCGCTGAGCAGATATAGAGGAAGCAGAGATTTACATACAGACATACAGCGCTGAGCGGAGAGAGAGGAAGCAGAGGTTTACATACAGCGCTTAACGGAGATAGAGGAAGCAGAGATTTACATATAGCGCTGAGCAGATATAGAGGAAGCAGAGATTTACATACAGACATACAGTGCTGAGCGGAGAGAGAGGAAGCAGAGATTTACATACAGCGCTTAACGGAGATAGAGGAAGCAGAGATTTACATACAGCGCTGAGCGGAGATAGAGGAAGCAGAGGTTTACATACAGCGCTGAGCAGATATAGAGGAAGCAGAGATTTACATACAGCGCTGAGCGGAGATAGAGAAAGTAGAGATTTACATACAGTGCTAAGGAAGAAGAAGCAGAGATTTACATACAGCACTGAGCGGAGAGAGAGGAAGCAGAGATTTCCATACATTGCTGAGCGGAGATAGAGGAAGCAGAGACTTACATACAGCACTGAGCGGAGATAGAGGAAGCAGAGATTTACATACAGCGCTAAGCGGATATAGAGGAAGCAGAGATTTACATACAGCGCTGAGCGGAGATAGAGGAAGCAGAGGTTCATATACAACGTTGAGCGGATATAGAGGAAGCAGAGGTTTACATACAGCGCTGAGCGGAGAGGAGGTAGAGATTTACATACAGCGCTAAGGAAGGGGAAGCAGAGATTTACATCCAGCCCTGAGTAGAGATAGAGGAAGCAGAGATTTACACACAGCGCTGAGCGGAGAGAGAGGAAGCAGAGATTTACATACAGCGCTGAGCGGATATAGAGGAAGCAGAGGTTTACATACAGCGCTGAGCTGATATAGAGGAAGCAGAGGTTTATATACAGCGCTGAGCGGACATAGAGGAAGCAGAGGTTTACATACAGCACTAAGTGGAGAGGAAGTAGAGATTTACATACAGTGCTAAGGAAGAGGAAGCAGAGATTTACATAGAGCACTGAGCGGAGAGAGAGAGGAAGCAGAGATTTGCATACAGCGCTGAGCGGAGATAGAGGAAGCAGAGATTTAAATACAGCGCTGAGCGGAGATAGAGGAAGCAGAGATTTACATACAGCGCTGAGCGGATATAGAGGAAGCAGAGATTTACATACAGCGCTGAGCGGAGATAGAGGAAGCAGAGATTTACATACAGCGCTGAGCGGCGATAGAAGAAGCAGAGATTTACATAAAGCGCTGAGCGGAGAGAGAGGAAGCAGAGGTTTCCATACAGCACTGAGCAGAGAGAGAGGAAGCAGAGATTTACATACAGCGCTGAGCTGAGATAGAGGAAGCAGAGATTTACATATAGCGCTGAGCGGAGAGAGAGGAAGCAGAGGTTTACATACAGCGCTGAGCGGAGATAGAGGAAGCAGAGGTTTACACAGAGCGCTGAGCGGAGATAGAGGAAGCAGAGGTTTACATACAGCGCTGAGCGGAGTGGAGATAGAGGAAGCAGAGGTTTACACAGAGCGCTGAGCGGAGATAGAGGAAGCAGAGGTTTACATACAGCGCTGAGCGGAGATAGAGGAAGCAGAGATTTACATACAGCGCTGAGCGGAGAGAGAGGAAGCAGAGATTTATATACAGCGCTGAGCGGATATAGAGGAAGCAGAGATTTACATACAGCACTGAGTGGAGAGGAAGCAGAGATTTACATACAGCGCTTAGCGGATATAGAGGAAGCAGAGATTTACATACAGCGCTTAGCGGAGATAGAGTAAGCAGGGATTTACATACAGCGCTGAGCGGATATAGAGGAAGCAGAGGTTTACATACAGCACTGAGCAGAGTTAGAGGAAGCAGAGATTTATATACAGCGCTGAGCGGAGTTAGAGGAAGCAGAGGTTTACATACAGCACTGAGCGGAGATAGAGTAAGCAGGGATTTACATACAGCACTGAGCGGATATAGAGGAAGCAGAGGTTTACATACAGCGCTGAGCGGAGTTAGAGGAAGCAGAGGTTTACATACAGCGCTGAGCGGAGTTAGAGGAAGCAGAGGTTTACATACAGCGCTGAGTGGAGATAGAGGAAGCAGAGATTTACATACAGCACTGAGCGGATATAGAGGAAGCAGAGGTTTACATACAGCACTGAGCGGAGTTAGAGGAAGCAGAGGTTTACATACAGCGCTGAGCGGAGTTAGAGGAAGCAGAGGTTTACATACAGCTGGTTTATTAGAGAAGCAGAGGGCTTCATATACAGTTTATTTAGAGTTAGAGGAAGCAGAGGTTTACATACAGCGCTGAGCGGAGTTAGAGGAAGCAGAGGTTTACATACAGCACTGAGCGGAGTTAGAGGAAGCAGAGGTTTACAAACAGTGCTGAGTGGAGATAGAGGAAGCAGAGATTTACATACAGCGCTGAGCGGAGAGGAAGCAGAGATTTACATACAGCGCTTAGCGGATATAGAGGAAGCAGAGGTTTACATACAGCGCTTAGCGGAGATAGAGTAAGCAGGGATTTACATACAGCACTGAGCAGAGTTAGAGGAAGCAGAGGTTTACATACAGCACTGAGCAGAGTTAGAGGAAGCAGAGGTTTACATACAGCACTGAGCGGAGATAGAGGAAGCAGAGGTTTACATACAGCACTGAGCGGAGATAGAGGAAGCAGAGGTTTACATACAGCGCTGAGCGGAGTTAGAGGAAGCAGAGGTTTACATACAGCACTGAGCGGAGTTAGAGGAAGCAGAGGTTTACATACAGCGCTGAGCGGAGATAGAGGAAGCAGAGGTTTACATACAGCGCTGAGCGGAGATAGAGGAAGCAGAGGTTTACATACAGCACTGAGCGGAGTTAGAGGAAGCAGAGGTTTACATACAGCGCTGAGCGGAGATAGAGGAAGCA